GGAGGGAGGGATGCTCAAGATTCATTTTCTCTGTTGAGTGACAATTTCTCTCACTGCGAACGAACCTCCCCCTACTCAAGGAAGTGCTAGTTTCATTTACAAGTTCAGGGTAAACACGTTTTTCAAATGTAAAGCAGTCTCAACTGTTTAAAGCACAACCATAGGCAATCAGAGGGATGCAAGAAAAAAAAACCAAGCACTTTGCGAGAATTAAATAAAGCATGTAATAAATACGAATCATAAACTTCTGTACACAGGAGCAAGGGTTTGGTTTTTTTTTTTTAATCATTTAATCAATATAAAAAAGTATTTCTGTTTTGTTTTTGTTTTCAGTGCATCTTCTTCCTCTTAAAATGCTTAACCCTTTCCTTTCTGCATCTCTCAGGCCCATAATAACGCACACCTAAATGGCAAAAAAGACAAGGTCTAACAAACCCCTTTCCAAAAAACTCTAAAAAAATATTCACAGCCTCAAACATTTTTGTACATTTCAAGCAACAAAAGGTATAGAAAAAGGCACAAGTAACTGCATACATGTGGAGATAATACCAGACTGGGACAAAGAAAACCAGGAATCTTCCATGGGTTTGGTCATTCACTAGAGTGCTTCTTATAGCGATGATTATACTAAAGGAAATAGTGTTGAAAATGTCTGTTGATTTTACATAGGAAGCCTAAAAGTGGAACAGATGGTGGAGGCTTAAGTACTTCCCGTGTTTTCATCCACCTTGTTTTGAGTTTGACCTAAATCTGCGTGCTCTAGCTGTGGACTGCTCTTCCTGGAGGTTCCCCCTTGGCGACTGGGCTCTCCGGAGAGGTTTCTCCTCCGGACGGAGAACGGCTGGGCGTGCGAATGGCTCGATGGGGGCTCTGAGAGGCAGCCGGTGCTGCTGCTTCGGTCTAACGGCTGGGAGGGGAGATCTGAGATGAAAGTGCAGGATGATTCAAATGAAGTGCTCGAGCTGCCAGATTGCTTCTTGCCCGTTTTTTTCAAGGGTTCTTCCCCGCTTGTCGAAGGCTTTGGAGAGTGCTCGTCGGTTGTGCTGGGGCTGGCTGGGGATGCCGAGCAGCCTGCCTGCTCCGCGTGGCTAGACTCAGCGAACATTTTTACCCTGTATTCCTCCTGGTCTGTCTTTTGCTGAAGCTCACTAGTCCTCATTTTCTCTTCTAAGTAACCACTGCTTGTAAGCTCTGGGGACAGTGTGTATTTAGAAACCTTTGCCACAGGGGAGACGGATGCCGACGACGGCTCCCGCGGGACCTGCGGTTCCTCGTCCCTCTCGGGAGCCTGGCTGAACTCCGCGAAGCCGCTGCCGCCAGAGGCAAAGTATCCCGCTTGCAGGGACACGACTGAACTGGGCACCAAGCTGGGATGGGTGCTTGGCCTCGCCTGGACCATCTGGATGCCCCCAATGGGAATCATAGGATACGGGGTCCTTGTGAGCTGCTGCGAATGCAACGGGAGATGGCTGAAGACATTCTCCTCCCCTCGGCTGGGAGCGTGGACATGTATTTCATGAGGTGCCTGCAAGGGTCTGGAGCAGACAGGCTGCGTGACGCCAGGTGAGCATGTTGGGCTTCGTGGTTCTATCTTCTGCACCGGAGAGGGAAAAGAAACAGCTGAATCAGTGCAACGTACAATTTACAGCATTAGCATCATTAATGCTCACTCTAAGGATTGATTTTGTTAACAATTTTTTCTAATTTGAGGGAGATCAATCAACCGAGGAAGATTTGTACCCCCAAATCTTTAAGGTAAGGAACAACACAACCCACCGCGTTTGCCTTCTGGGTCCAAATATGCCCACGGTCTGTTGGGGCACAGATCCAGGGTTTTGATTCAGGCTTGGATCATTATAAAATCATAGAATAGTTGGGTTGGAAGGGACCTTTAAAGGTCATCTAGTCCAACCCCCTGCAATGAGCAGGGACATCTTCAACTAGATCAGGTTGCTCAGAGCCCCGTCCAACCTGACCTTGAATGTTCCCAGGGATGGGGCATCTACCACCTCTCTGGGCAACCTGGGCCAGTGTCTCACCACCCTCATTGTGAAAAATTTCTTCCTTATATCTAGTCTAAATCTACCCTCTTTTAGTTTAAAGCCATTACCCCTTGTCCTATTATCAAAGTTGCCTCTGAAGCCCTGGCAGAGGATGCCAGTGTTTCCTGCCATCCGAGCCACTCTGGATCCCTTTCAGTACATGGGGTTTCTGAGAGCCCAGAATAATGTTATTTATTTTTACTGTACTTTCTTAAAGCAGGATTACATCCTTACAGTTGCTAATTGCAAGGATGTTTTGGACATCCTTGAGAGAGAGCATCAACTCTCATTTGACACAAAGCACACCCATCAGTGTGGTCCCCACCACCACCCTCATGGTGTGGTCTGTAGAAATCAAGGGTTAAGACCCCACCATTTTACCTTTTCCTCTTTCTCTCTTGGTGCTTCACATAGTTTCCTAATGTACATCATGGAGAGATATGTGGCTAAACAGAAATGGATTAATTAGTGATGAGGTTAAAACTAAACCCCTAACCAGAACTCCCAGGAAGAGGAAGCAACAGAAACTGAAATCAACTTTCCATTAAGATGGGATTAGCTATAAAATTTGAGGATTCACTGGAGGGCATATTTCTTTGTACGATTATGGAAAATTGCCTGACCCTGCGAGCTGGATCTCTATGAAGAGGCAACAGAGGAAAGCAGCAAAAGAGAATAGAAGAGAGAGAAAGCAAAGAGCAACTGAAGATAGTGTATACTTGGTCAGCAGTTACAAGCCCAAACACTTGCTAAATCTCACTTAACCACATGAAGTCTTGGCAGAATCACTATAGGCATGCTGGGAAACCCCCAAACAAATCATCTCAAGGGTGCAACAGCCACCAGAAGGAGAGACTACCTACTGCAAGAGCCAGTGGCAAGAGAGATGGTCACGATCAAGCCTGATGCACAGACTTGGCAGAAAGCCTTACGCTGAAGCTAAGATCATCTCCAAGTTTCTAAGCAATGCATAGGGCACCAGTTTTGAGCACAGAGCTCTGTTCAATCCACCTCTGATCTTTCTGTTTCTTATAGCCTTACCAGGAATGTAATTTTGCAATGAAAGCCCAGCTGTCCATCTCACTAATAAATGGAAAGTTTCCCATTCAGGTCTTCATTGTTACTTTGGAGGCACGTGAGAAAAGCAACAGTGGTGACTTTGGGTGCACAAAAGGAGCAGGAAAATGGCACAAAAAGGTATGAATGTGACAGCGTAAGTTAAAAGGTGTGAATGGGCAGATAAGTGGGGGTATACAATATTGTCTCCTACTGTGGACTAGGGAGCTTAGGGGATTTGCTACAAGTAGTGGCAGTGGGCAGTCTTCCTGACAGAGATGCTTTAGAGTTGAAGGACCGGGGTTTCCACAGCCCTGAGATTCACCACAAGAAGTTAATTGACAGGAAAGGGAAATAGCATTAAAGTAAGCAGAAGTTTGGACCTAAAACAAAGGATAGTCTCTGAGAAGGTAAGACAAATACTCATAGTGGAAAGCAGAAGGAAAGCAGCACCAAAAGACAGTATGTTATCATAGACATGGAAGAAACGCACACTGGGCAGCGTGGCTTTTCTGGAGAAGACCTGGGTCAGCATCTGCCGTGACAGGTTCTCCAGGGGTTGTATAAAGGCCTCTCTCTTCCCAGTGCAGTCCCTAAAGGCTCGAGTGTCTCCTCACACCAGTTTCACAGCAGAGCAACTCCAGCAACTGAATCTCATGTTCATCAGCATAAATTACAGGAGAGCCAGGCACTTCAGTAGAAATGGGAAACGTTCCACCAAACCCGATGTCTAATTTGCCTGTGGCAGTGGGAGGAACATGCAATTTTCCTTTGCCCATAGGATTTGATATGTCCAGCAGAGAGATTAAATAATTTTCTGGACCCAGTGGGAAACACTTCTCTGTGCTGAAGAGAGAAGCGAGATGAAATCAGAGATGTCCAGACAAACACTTCTCAGCAGTTAATCTAACAGAGTTGGCTGCGTATGTACATAGCCCAGGAGTCATCAATGGAGTGCAATGGCTAGTTCAGATCTGGTTCAGGTCGCTGAACAGTGAAAAATGGTCACAGCTTCACCCCAGCTGGTGAAATCTCAGAAATGGGTATGAAATTCCCAGGAAAAAAAAGCCTCTTAGTGACAACTGGTCATTATTAAGCCGTCATCCTTACTGCTTGTCTCAGCAGGAGACTGGTTGGGTCAGGAGTGTAAATAATCCCTTGGAGAAGGGACAACTTTATTTCTCTTCAACTGAGATGGGCAGGCCCAAAATGGGTGCAAAACCCATTGCTGTCCGCTGTCACTTTTGTCTGGGTTACCTGTGACATCAGTCACGGTCAGAGTCACTGTGCACTTGTGCATTGCAACCTTCATTAAAAAACATATCAGAGAACGTACTGCAGGGACTAGAAGGCAAGAGGGGCTTGAACTTACCAGCTTGGACTCATAGAGCTGTACGTTTTTGCCAAAGAACCTGTGAGGTAGAGGCATCGAAGATAATATCCCATGCTGGGCTTGATATGAGCTCTGAACTTTGTCATCTGCTGCTGATTTGCTAGTACCAGGCAAGTCCTCTTTCCCGGGGGATGGATACCTAGGCGACTCTGAACAGCCTGGAGACAAAACTTTCTTCAGTGATAAATATCTGACTGATGACATCTCTCTGCTTGGCGATGAGTGCCTCACAGGGGAGACTTCTCCTTCTGGTGGAAGGTACGTTCTTGGGGACAGCTCTCTTCTCGGGGAAAGATGCCTGCTGGGCGACAGCTCAAGCCTTGGTGACACACATCTCAGTGGAGATGCCTCCCTCCTGGGAGAGACGCGCTGGCAAGGAGACAACCCTCTCCCTGGAGACAGGCACCTCAGAGAAGACAGTTCTCCAGTTGGCGAAAACCGTTTCGGTGAAGTTTCATTTTTGGTTAATAGGTGCTTTCTCGCTAGCATTGGTCTGCTGCTGCCACCACCTCTGCCAGAGTCCTGGCTCGGAGACCACCTTTTTCTTGGGGAGGTGTCTTTTGAGGTTGACAGGTCCATAACTAAGGACATCTGTGGCCTTGTGACAGACTCTCTTTCAGCAGATGCCAATTGTTCGGTGGAGGTCAAAGCTGGTCTGTGGAGACTCAAGAAGCTGTGGCACACAGCAATGTCACTGCTGTCTGCTGACCACTTTGTTTCCAGCCCTGAGGAGGAGGCCTGCTGGCCTTCACCTACTTTTTGGCTGCTGGAAACATTTTCTTGGGCTAAGGACAATGCTATTTCGGTGCCTTCCTCTTGAGAAGATGGAGAGCCACCTGAAGAGTGCATCGGGAGGGTGGTATGTTTGCCTTCTGGCAATTTTAAAGGTGGCTCATCTTGGCTCTCCTCTTCCTCCTCATCTTCCTCATCTTCATTGTCATCATCATCGTCAGATTCCTCTAGGTCGGAAAACTGGTGTTCCTCAATTGGCTCAGATCCCTCCCGCCCCTCAGAGTCCTGGAATAGGTCTTCACTGGTTCCTGAAGGGACAGGCAAACACAAAACAAAGAGTGTAAAACACACATACAGGTACTATTTTTGGGCTAAATCTGCTCAAAAGTTCTAAGGGGACAAGAGGAGAGAGGACCCAGCTATTTCCTAGAGCTGATCATCTCATGCTTTGAAGTCTGCAGTCTTGCCCTCTGTGCCACCTCCACTCCTGATGATCCCAGTAGATGCCAGTGAATCCCACCATTAGGACCTCCCGCTCTACCCTAATTTTGGTTCCAGCCATTGCTCTGTCAACACATGCCGCCATCGGTCCCTGCTTCTGCTGTACACCTTCACACACCCTGCCTGCCTTTCTCTAGAAATGCAAAAAAGGCTCTTAATAGATGAGGAGAACAGCAGCACTATCATCCTTTGGTGGGCTTTTTATGACTATTTGTTGCAGTGGTGCCTACAAAATATCTACAGCTGCCAAAGTACGGGAAAGTTGCTGGGATGACTGCTCCCATTCTCACATGTTGGGCCTTTTCCTGCCTAGATTACATGAGAGTTAAATATTAGCGAGACTGGACTTTTTTTAAAACTAAACAATAGGTTTGAAAGAACCTCTGTGGATTTTCCCTTATTTTGATAAATTCTAGCTATGATGCAGATGATGCTTTGTGGCAAAGGCTTTTGCTGACTATCTGTGGAAGGTCTTGCACAGGGATGCTTTGTTAATAAGAGCTTGTAAACAATGACAAGTATACAGAAAGCAAATTCTAAAAGATTTGAAATACATCTGCAGGTAAAAATGCAGTATCTCTCTTCTACTTTAAGAGCCAGCAGAAGCTTTCTGAGATCAGTACCAAGCTCCCAAGCAGATCGCTGCCGGCTCACCCACTGCTCTGCACTGAGAAAAATCTGCATTTCCCCATGCCAGATGTGCAGCTATCCTGGCAGAAATGCAAGCTCAGCCTGAAGAGGTCCGTCGGGAACAGCCACTGGATGTCACTGTAGCTCAACAAAATTGCACTGTCAGGAGGCTCCCCTGCAAGTCCCCACTGCTTTGGAGGGGCTAATAGAATAGCAGTTTCTCACTCGGTTTGTGCCAAGCACCAAGACGATGGGTGTAGAGCTGCTGGGACATGCTTGGTCCCCCAGCTTTGGAAGGAGAGCACCTGGATGCTCTTTGACACCCGCGTGAAGCCGGGTAACTAATTGCAGCACTGCTGGCCTCTTTTCCCCATCAGTTCAGCCTAGGACACTGTTTCTCCTCTGATGAACACTGAAACGGTTTTCCATTTAGAGCTGCCATCTGTCAGCAGGACGAGCCAGAGGGAAAATTAAATGGAGCTAACGCTGAGGCTGGACCACACCTGCCTGCAGCAGGCAGGGTGGTTTTCAGAAGGGGACATGGCCACACAGTGAGAAGTCACTGTGATCTATGGATAAAAAGTCTAATTTTGTTTACTTTGAATAACAGGGCCTTCCTAGTAAATGCTCATGAAGTATTTGCCATTACTAGTGAAATGACATGTATTTTACCATGGCTGATTATCCATTCAAGAGTCAGCCTGAAATGCATCTCATTTGCTCCCCATCCCGTTTCAAAAGTATCTGTTAACTAGTCCATAACGCGAGACCTACTGCAGAACTCCTACAGCATTGAGTCGGTCAGCAGCTCTCCACCAAGAGGCTGACTTGCATTGTGAAATACTTGTATAATGATGGTGTTTGCTGGACCCAGGATCCAGTGGCAAGTTGTTTGCAAACTCCCAAAGGAACTGAGTTCAGAACAAACATTATTCCAAACGACCAGTTCTCCCAGCTGTAGGGTGAACTGTGCATATTTCTTGCTTGGAAAAGGAACGCATTTCACTACCAGAGCTATGAGCTAGTCCCTGTCTCTGGTTTCGAGGTTTGACATCTATGGGCTTCAGGATGGACAGGCAGCTATAGCCTCAGCCTCCACTGCATGGCTCCGAGAGCCTTGTCCTGGGTGGTCTCCTTTTTTTGGCCCCAGTCACGCAACGGACAAGCGCTGGCCAGGACAGAGAGCAAGGACAGAAGTATGGAGTGAGGGAAATGTGAAGCCAGCTCCGCACTGGGGAGTTGTTTGCGTTTGCCACCAAGGGAAACATTTCAGAGAGTCCTGGGACAGCCCAAAGGGAATTTGCTTTAACCTCCTAACACGCTCCCTGCAGGCAGAAAGAGAGCTCAGACCTGAGCCCTGGCTTCTTGCAACTGAAATGCATTTTGCTGAGCTAATGGGCAGAGAAAGGGCAAGTCAGGAGAAGACACAGAGGGAGGGAGAGGTGGAGGAAGGAACGAGAGAGGGAGCTAGTGAAAACGTGCCCTGTCAACAGCTTTGTTTGAGGGTTGCATTTCATTACACGTGGGTTATTCTACCAAACTGGTGCAATCACACCAAGAAAAACGAATGCAGGAGTGAAGAATTATACTCCAATCTCCTTTTATAGTAACACCCCTTACTTTCTCCTGCCCCTTAAATAGAAATAAAAACAATCAAATGAAACATAACTCTAGTTTAAAATAATCCAGGGAGTTTTAGGAACTGCTGCTCCCTCCCCGCCTGCCCCCAAAGGAAAGCATGGCAATCTTCCTGCGCTGGTTTGTGTCACATGGAAATAGTAATTTTTTTTTTTCTTTTTAATTAAAATAGTCCTTGCTAGGCTCTGTTCTGAGCTTCTTCGCAAAGAAGAGAGAAGACACTCTGTGGTTACACAGAGGAAGGCTCTTTGCAATCCACTACTCTGAGAACAGGGGATGCGTGATATAGCTGTGATCTCTGATTTCTCATGCACCTTTCTGCCATTTTTACATTATTTTCTCATCCATCCAAATAGCCCCAACCATTACAGTACAAGATATGATTTTCTGACCATCTTCTTGGATGCTTTCTTTAGTATTTACTTGGCATTTGTGAGCAACGGGCCTCCTTACTCATGAGGCAGAATATCTGAAATTTCGGCAGAAGTTCAGTGTTAGCTTTAACCAGGTAAAAAAGAAGGAAAGAAAGGAAAAGTCTTCCGATACCACGCCTTCCTGTTTTCACCTTTCTGCATTCCTTCCTGGCAGACCGTCCCCTTTACACGAACACAAATGGTCTTCATAAATGGGAGGAAATGAGGACTGTATACTTTTTGTAATACTAAAATTACACAGATTGCTTGCATAATGCAATAAAGTCCAGACAGCGCAACAGATTCCAGCGAGCAGTCGCGCAGCCGACAGCAGCAACGGCAGAGGAGTTCCTTCCGAAAGCTAATGGGTTCCTGTCCTCTGCAGTCCAGGTAGGGCCCTTCCTCGCTGGGCTTAGCAGGTGTCCAACCACCAGCTGTTCAGCCACAAGCAGTCAGGGACCAATGGTTTAATGATGGCCAAAAAAAAAGTCCCCCAGCTGATGGTCCCATCCTTTCCGCTGAGTGCTCTCCCAGCTGACCCAGGGAGGCAAGGCAGACCTTTCTTGGCCTTTTGTTTAGACCTACTCTTTCCATGAGACCAGCTCAGCCTCCTCACCTGCCAGACCTCCGTTTTCGCAAGCAGAGTGCTCCCATCAGCTTACAGCCGGGACGGGCTTTCACATCGCTCGCACAACATGCTGCTGAGTGCACTACTATTAACCCTGTAGGAGCCCAGGGATGAATGACTGAAGGAAATCATGAATGAAAGCATTCCCCTGGATTGGTGAAGTGAGCCCTTGCAGTTCTGTCCTCAGAAGCCTGCAATTACGTGTAACATAAATAGGACTTCTGATTTGCAGGTTTTCAGAAGTGACACTCAATTAATATGATTCATTAGTTCTAATTGACTATAATGGAAAGGTTTAAAATAACAGTTGTTCTTTTCAGAGTCATGAAACCTTTCCCTATCTAGCTTTGATCTGCAGAAGCATCACCAACGGGTGGTATAACAGCAGGGAGGCATTTCTGGAGACCATCAGCTCATCAATTATTTTAAGTGAGTTCCCAGGCTGAAGGAGTTCTCCAGCAATCCCACACGGGAGCAGCCTCCCCCTGCTCACACCATGCCAACACGTCTCCCTTGGGGCAGCTACTGCAGAATCCCCGACCAGGTTTTCTTTTGGCCATGCCCTCCTTTGGAAAGGCCACGGCCAAGTACAGCATGTCTCTGCCTGATCGAAAGGTTGCTCTGAAGAGCTGCAGAAAAGCCAAGAGTTCAAGCAGATTTAAAAGGAAGAAAGCCATCCCTTGAGGCAGAGCGGCACACTGTCGGCCAGGTCAGATATCCTTAGCCTTTGTTATACGTTTATTCTGCGTGGTCTGGGAGAGCCCTTTGTCCATCCCCGTACACGTCAGGAAAGGCACTGTGAAAGGGGGCACGGGTGTCTGGTAATGCCGTAGGGTCTTCCTTTCTCCCATGTCCTCGTTCCCTGACTGTCCAGGTGACTACACCTGGCCTGAACCAGAACCCAAGTCTGAAAAGGCATGGTACCACTGCACTGGGGGATCACTGGGGTTTGGGATTGGTTAACCAGTGGGACTTCTCAGATATCTCCTACAGGTTCTCTGCTGGCAAGTTGAGCAGTGGTCTGTTCAGGTCAAAGACAGTCGCATCAGCCCTAAAGCCATATTTGTCCCAGGACAGTGACACATCAGATGCTCTGCATCTGCACCTCTGTGCCTCCAAAACAGGGCGGCCACATCCAACCTCCTCTGCAGGAATGGTCCCAGGGCCATGCTAATTCCCAAACTGTGCTCAGCATTTTTTTGGAAGTGTGTTAGATGGCCTGAACCACAGATGTCTTCTTAATTCCTCCTGCAGTTTAAGTTGAGAAGATGTCTGCCAGTGTCTGTAAATGTCCCCAGCACTGTTTAATTAACCAGTGTGGAGATACCCCAAGGATACAGCACGCTGCGGGGGACAGCATTTCTGAGCTTCGATATCCAAAAACTGAGACTTAAAGCACCTCGGAGGGTGCCAGCGGCCAGGGCTGCCCAGCAGGCACAGCCTCCCCAGCCCTGTGAACCACCTGCACCGCGAGCTCCTCTGCGGCACGAAGGGCTGCAGCCTGCAACAGAGCAAACCCCACTCCCACCACGGGCTACATAGGGAAACACACTTAGTGATTTTTAATTACCTACGAAGCAGGAAGCATGTGACACTGCCCATGTCCCGGGAACCAACCCCTTTCCCAATAAAACCTCTGATGGACTTGACCTCAGCAGGGGACCGGGGTGATAAGCGCTGTTTGTTGTTCCTGCCGAGTTAACATTCCCTGGCTCACAGTGCCGTCTCCAGAACTTGCTCAGCTGATGTGCACTTTATAAAAATAACCGTGGCGCCATGTGTTTTATGAAGTTCATTTTAACCCATTGTCAACAAACCCTTGCGGGCTGTGGCAGAATGAATCCCAGGGCTGGGGGAATCAAAGTTGTTTGGGGTAAGACGGGGGTGAAACAGGAAACAGAGAAAAAAAATGCTAAAGACAGCCACATGAGCTGCTTTCATACTGGGATTTCTGGGGTGGCAGCCAGGAAGGGTCAATGGTGTTATGACCAGCCTGCAACACAATGCAAACAGAAAACATCACCCTGCTCTGTGGCACTAAGTGTTTTATCCAGGAATAAACACACTGTGACAGAGACAGACCTGTGCTCCCGAGCCTCTCTTCCCTCTATAGCTGGTATGTGCA